CTCCCAAACATGTCTCTTTTTCAGCCACTAGATTAGGGGATCATAAGGGCTTTTAAGGCCCCATTACACACACTCTCTATAGAAAGGATTACCAACATTATTGAAGAGAACTTTGATAGAGTTTAGAAGGCTTACACCTTTAAAGATGCCATTGTTATAGAAAAAGCTATGGGGTCGGGCGCGGTGGCTCAAGCCTGTAATCCCAGCACTTTGGGAGGCCGAGGCAGTGGATCATGAGGTCAAGATATCGAGACTGTCCTGGTCAACATGGTGAAACCCCGTCTCTACTAAAAATACAAAAAATTAGCAGGGCCTGGTGGCGCGTGCCTGTAATCCCAGCTACTCAGGAGGCTGAGGCAGGAGAATTGCCTGAACCCAGGAGGCGGAGGTTGGAGTGAGCCGAGATCGTGCCATTGCACTCCAGCCTGGGTAACAAGAGCGAAACTCCGTCTAAAAAAAAAAAAAAAAAAAGGAAAGAAAAGAAAAGAAAAGAAAAAGCTATGAAGGCCATCAAGCACAACTGTGTTCAGATGCTGTTCATGACTTCACAGGATTTACAACCAAGTCAATTAAGGAAATTGTGAAACATACTGTAGATATGGCAAAAAAAAAAAAAAAAAAAAAAAAAGGTAAGGGGTAAAAGATTCAAGGTATGGATCTTAGAGAAGTTCAATAGCTAACAGGTACCACAACCGAGGAATTAAAAGAAGGTAACCTGATGGAGATGAGTACCTCCAAACCAGTGCTAAGGCAATGAGGAGCAAGACATAGAAGATGCAGTGTCAGAAAATAGATTGACATTAGACAATCTAGCAGAAGGATTCAAGACTACTTTTGACTTCTTTTGTGACATGGACCCTTCTATGAGATGGGCAATGAAATAAAGCAAATGAGGAAAGAAAGATCAGTACTGCATAGTCAACCTATAAAAAATAAACATGTTTAAAAAAATAAAAAAGTAAAAAGTCATATGGAAGTTATGACATATTTCTGTAAACTTACACTAACAGTGCCTACATCTCCTGTCTCTCTTCCCATCTCTTACATCTTTTCTGCCTCTGTCACCCCTGAATTGAACAGACTCCTCCTCCTCAGTCTACTCAACATAATGGTGACAAGGATGAGGATGTTGATGACTATTCAATTTCACTTATAAATGGTAAATATATTTTATCATGATTTTCTTAATCATATTTTTTCTCTAGTTTTGTTGTAAAAATGCAGTATATAATGCATATAACACACAAACTAGACATTAACTGTTTATGTTATCAGTAAGCTTTTGGGTCAAGAGTAGGTTCTTAGTTAAAATTGGGGGAGTCAAAAATTATTTGTAAATTTTCAACTATGCAGAAGTTCAACACTTTTAATACCTACATTATTCAAAGGTCAACTGTATATCATACAGTCTCTTATCAAAAGAAAACTAAAATGCATAAAGCATTTACCGAACACTATGACCAAATATAGAATTAAGAACTTTTGTAATATTGGGCACACACGTTTTAAAATTTTTATCATTTGTTCTAGGTATTGTATTGTACCACAACTTCATATAAGCTTATTTTTATGAATACCTCTGTAGATTCTACTGGCTAAAATTTTTTGTAATGCTTTATAAAATTCGGAGTAATTTTGTACCCATTGTAGGCATAGAAGGCCAATTTTGGCTGGATGTATAAATATCAAATACTTTCTTATCCATGCATTCCAAATTGCAAGATTTTTAAATCTATGTTATGAATTATATTGTATAATTTTAAGTTAACTACAGTTACCAATCTAAAGTGGCAGTGAAAACAAATGCAGAAAGATGCACATTTATTACTTTTAGTAGAACTCTTTTGACTAGCTAATGAAAGACACACAATATCAAGAACTACTTGGACTTTTTTTTTTGCAATGAGAAATGCTCCCTAGATTGCAATGTACAAATAAGATATGATGTCACCTACAATGTTGTCAAATTGATTGTATGAAAATATACTATAAGAGGGTTTTTTTACAAAACAGGTGACTAACTAAAATCAATAGTTATGATTAAGAGAGGCTACGCAACTGTATGGTTTTATTTTAGAAGAGAGATAAAGGAATGGTAGGGTATTGGTGAATTTGTACTCTTTAGATTAAAGCTTTTGTTTGGTAGTGGCATATTTAATACAGCTTTGATTTATTACTGAACTTGATTATTCTTTACAAATGACTAAGCTTCTCTTATGAAAAATATGTTGTAAGTATGCTAAGACCATCTGTTTTTATTTGTAACATCATTACCATATATTACTTATTTTGTATCTTTAAATATTATCATCTTCCATCACATTTTTCTGACAAGTTTTCATAGAATTCATCTTCCTATTAACTTCTTGTTACAAATGACATTCCAATGCCATATTAAAGAAGAGTTAAAGAAAAAAAGAACTATGCCCACATAAAAGTTTTGCTCCAGTCACTAATATTGTAAACCATGTATGAGATCATAGTAATTCTGTTTCTAGAAAAAAAACACAGCATTTACATTATAAGAATACCTGTTTATCTTGAAGTGATCAAATTGATTTGATTATATTTTCATATTACTGTGTGTGTCTGTTAAATACACACAACTATATTCAAACACAACTCTACTCAAACAACTATAAGGTACTGCCTGCTAATTGAGAGGCAGAGATGTAAAAAAGATGGTAAAAGACATCTTGGGAAGAGGGAAAAGCATGTGTAAATACAAATAACAAAAAATGTATTTAGAGAAAGGATAATAAACATACACTACTATAATCATTCAGTCACAACACCTCTGCAAATTCATTTACAATCTTAATAGTCGTGACAGATTTTTAAATGGATGCAGAATATTCAATAATTTCTCGGTGTGATTTATTGAAAAATTATGCTTATTTTATGCTACATAGATAGATAAATGTGTAGATGTAGAGAGGTAGAAAAAGTCTAGGTTAAGAAACAAAAGGAAAAAAAAAAAAACTCTTTGAAAATATGTTCTAGGAAGTTACCCCAAAGAGTGATACAATTCTGTAGCTGTATCTATTACCCAAAAAAAAAGTTCTTTTTCTTTTTCTGCTAGAAAATAATGGGAACTTCTAAATATGATTATGACTGTTAAGGTTATCATTAAATTAACAGCATCATAAGAAATTTCACTTTGTTTCTATGATTTTACAATCTCTATTTTATGTATGATCCATTTTTTCAAAAAGAATTTTCACATGTAGTGAACTTCATGCCATTTATGTTTATAGAAAATAAAGACCTCAAGTAACAATACACACATTTATAATATTAGGATAAAAACAGATGCAATATGATGTAAATTCTTTGGAGAAATAACTTCCAAATGTATTTGAGTCCTAATTGAGATTTCTTACATTTAAAAATAGGATGTATTTTCAGTGAAAGATTGATGGAGATTTTGTACTCGGTATGTGTCTGATATCTCAATTTATTGTATTTAAAATGTGGAAGTAAAAGAAAGCAATGTCTACAGCTCTAGTTTATATATTTTAACCCTTAGAAAGTATAATTTTTAGAAAAATCAAGAGAAGATGGAAATACTAAAGGCATAACTGTACGAGAGGGATGTTTCAGAGTGGCTGCCAACTTCTTCCTAACTTTTTATATTACTGAGAACACTTAGTTTTTCTATATTAAAAGAAATGAAATTGCTCAAGTAAAGTTAAATGATGTGGGGTAAGAGACTTAGTTTGCCATTTACCTTTTCTTTGCTCTTGTGAGGCAACTATTTTACGTTTTCTTGAGCCCTAGATTACAGAAGTATTTGAAAGCTTAGAAATAATCAGTTTTCCCATCCCACTATCCATCTATCAGTGAATTCTTCCTCAAGTAAAAGCACAAGTCAGACTGACAGAAAAACTGTATTTCTAGGTATGGGTGTGTGTATCGGGGGGATGAGGATATTTCAGTTGGCAGATCACTAATGGAATATATCACTTATAACTAAAAGAAGAATATAAGCCTCTATTTACGCATAGTGTTTTTAGATGACCAAAATCCCTAGATACATTAATACCTAATCAAAACGTACAAATTCAATAAGGTATTCATAAATGACTGCACACATCTATAAATTAACCACATTCATCTCTAACAGCTGAAAATCGTGTGCCTTGGACAACAAACACACACTGATAGTCTGCACTGCAAAGTTTGTTTAAAGCACTAAATATGATATCAAGTCCTCTGTCAATGACAGCAGAAGGTTCCAGTGCACTATTTGTTTCATAATCCTGTATTTAGCTGACTCTCTACTCTGCAGCTCAAGTTGCCGGCAAACTGGAACTGGAGCGCGAGAGTCAATCCTTGTTTGGTTAACAAATTCCCCGCAAAATATCCCCCCGAAACCCCCAGGAGCTGTAGTGATGTCATATCCGTTGTCCAGGTCTCCACACCTCTCTCAGCAGTTACTCCCTTTATCTATTCCTTGGGTCAAAACTTTTGAGGTGGGCTGGCTATATAGCCGCGGGGGAGAGGGTAAACTGGGGCGCTCAGGTTGGAGGAGCTTCAGCACCGCGGCCAGCGCCCACTGCAGCCCAACCCACTCTCTTGAGCTCCCGGACTCCTAGCTCTGAGAATGCCTGCGGAATGATCGCCCCCCAGGGCGGCTGCCGCCGCTGCCGCTGCCGCTGCCGCTGCTGCTGTTATTGCTACTGCTGCTGCCGCCGCCTCTGCTTCCACTCTGCTCTGACTGGCAGGCAGAAAGTGCAACTGACGAGGGAAAGGTCTCTGCAGTGAGTGGAGTGCCTACATAAAAGAGAGTAAAGAAGGGGCAAAAACCCAGATCAGAATGCGGGCGACGTCCAGCCTTCTCAATCTCCTGCTGCTGTCTTTGCTTACTGGATTAGACCCTTCCAAGGTATGAACAATATTTTGAGTCTCTTTTGAAATAAACGTGCAATATGTAACAAACTACCAAAAATGCAAATAAATATGCCAAAATCGGCACGAGAGACAGCTCTTTCAGTTACCTTATGGTGCCTGGCGTATCCCCACTGCTTAGAAGATAACAAGGTGAACTACCGGAGGAATAGCTCCTCAAGGTAGAGTCCTACTGAGAGGGGGGAGGGACCAGGAGAAAATAAAATGTGCATGGGCAGCGAGCAATGCGGCTCTCCGGGGAATTAGCTTATTCCGTGTCCAACTGCTTAATGCTCTCTTTAAGTCGGACGGGCAATTCAAAGGAGTTTGCGGGTGGAAACAATGCAGTTTATAAACATGTATTAGGACATGGTGAACCGTTTCTTTGTTGAAAGCAGGGAAGCGTTTTCCAGCTGATCCTGGTCAATAATACTCCCATCGCAGACGTGCTGCGGTTTGTGTCCAAAACATTTGGGATGCTGCTTGTAACACACACGGCAGAGCAGCAGAGCAATACTCTCTGCCATGGCTGAGAGGCGTTCGTGAAAGGAGCTTGTGTTTGCTTTTTTCTTTTCATTAAGAAAATAGTGGGCAGTGAGGAAGTTCTGATTATCAGTGTTAAGAAACAGGAAGTGAGAATCTTAACAAACTAAGGAGGGCAATAGGAAGGATGGGTTAGCTCATAAATATTGAACTCTTGAAAATTATTTACTACTGGCAATTAAAGTGAACGCTAAACTCCTTTGATAAAAAGACAGGCAAATATGGACAAATATTTTCAACGATGTCTGAGAAAAGTCTTGATGACAAAGTGAGGTAATTTGAAAGCTTCAGCATTCTAAGAAAATCATAATGAGAGGGAATAAGAGATAAGCCATCTGATGAAAAAGAGTAAGAGATACAATATATTATTTTACTTATTTAACTGGTCAACAGCAATTTGACACTATAGGAAGAACGATGCCATGCTGTAAAACTAATAAAAGCTACATTTTGGAATATTAGAAAGCTGTTTTTAGAGCTTTACATCATGTATGTAGCGTAGACAAATTAAGTTTCCTTTTATTACTGAATAGAACTAAGATGTAACCAAGCATAATTTAATACTGTGGTTGTGATATTTCTAGGCCTAATATAGTATATAGTTAAAACTTAGAATCATATATACTTGTAATTATTTCTGTACTCTTTCATATTTAGAGGGAACTGATGTGAATAAACTCATTTTATTTTAAAGCTTTGATTGTACTGGTATTATTGATGCAAAAGCTTCGCACTATGTGAATGTCATCTTAAAAATCTTAAAAGAATATTTTAAAGATGTAACTTTAAAGCATTTTACACTTAAAGTGGCAAAAGTGTTGACTTTGCTTTTAAATATTTTTTTCTTCCTGACTCTGCATGCTGCAGTGACACATTCTATCAACTGCCACTCTTTCTACATGATATTGTTTAAAACTTTTAAACACATTTCATTGTATATCTCATTTGAGAGTATTCTTAGTAAAACAGCTTTTTTAAAGCAAAGTTAATCACTAAGTTACTGAAGAAAAAGTCGCTTGACTTAAATCGAGTTTTATTTGTCATTCTTTAAAATAAATTCAGAAATGTAGAGCTTCATTAACAATTTTATATGTGATTTGATTTATCTGGTATCTTTGATGCATAAATATCTTCGCTGCTTGCACCCCTTTCTTTCCAAAATTAAACATATAGATAATTTTCTGTTAAACATAGAGACAAATTTTTAAAATAAACAATGTACTTTTGGTAAAAATAATATTTTCTAGTTTGAGTGAGTTTATTTGTATGCATTCAGTGCTATGAAACTTTTTACTTTCTTCAGAATGAACTGTGCATATTTGCCACAAATGAGCCGAAAAATCCAGAGAAGGCATACATTAACTTTTCAAACTATCCTTCTCAGCTACTACATACTGCAATACAGTGTACAAAGAACAAACGATGATTTTTTTTCAAAAGATATTTGTCCTACACCATAGACAACATTACAGACGATTTAAAAATGTTCAAAACAGGTGATTTTAATGTAAAAAGTTTTGGGACTTTTAGACAAAATACTGCTTAAAAAATGAAGAGAAGCACTTTTGTATTATATTATATATTTATATTTGTATAACATATATTTATATTGCCCATCCTTCAGAAAATTACAGATGGCATCATTGTGTCCTCAAAATAATTGTCAATTAGGTTATAGATTAAGAATTTTCTAAAATTTTATTTTTATTCTGCTGGTCACTTAAGGGCTTAGATTTTAAAAGTCAGGATTCTTAAAGCAAATTCTATCTGGTGAAATTAAAAATCCAAATAATATAATACTATAGAAATATAGTTTTTGGACAAATAAGAAAAGATTTGTGATAACACTTAAATGAACAGAAATGCTAACCAGCTGCTTTTTTACATATTAATACATCAGGAGTGACATATGTCGAATTTTCAAATTAGTTTAAGTATTATTCTATATTTTTATACTTTCTGTTTATTATAAACAGATACATATATATACATATCACATTAATAAGCACAAAATGGCTAAATAGAAGAGCTCTTAAAATTGAATGGATTTTTTTTAAGGTATAGGATTTCACATATATCAAATACTGGAAATCTAAATCTTAGAAAGCACCTCTTATATATTAATTTATCTGAAGACAACTGGGTTTTCTAACAACAGTACCAATTCTATTTCATGGAAGACCATATAATGTTTACATTTATAATGCTGAGTTTTGTTTTGTTTTTTGTCACTGAAGCTTACAGGTCTATATGGCATTTTATAAAGTGCTTAAGTATCGCCATCTTATGGTAAGGTAATTTACTTGAAAGTCAATATAGTTTTTAAATTTTTTTAAATGGCCCAAGTTTCATTGTTCATAGGATGAGCTTACTTCTGGCATGTACTTAGTTTCTTTTCTCTCATTTACTGTATCAAAATATTGCCAAGATTGGTATTCTCTTCCCAAAAAGAAAGGCAATTTACAATAATTAATTAATTGTATTTTTGTAGAGACAGATGATCAATTTTTCTTTTAGAAAGTTTGTGTAAAATATGTTTTCTTAATTACATTATAATTAGTAAGTTTCCAGTTCTTTTTAGAAAACTCAAATGTATTTCACAGCCTATTTTAAGAGATGTCAGTTAATTTCGTTTGTAATGGAGTGTTTGAATTATAGACAATATGCCAAATCACTGTTCTATAAGCAAAATTTCAAACACTGAAAGCTTATAGGAATTCAATTATTGCTCAATTTTATAGGGAAAGGACTGTTTTTGTGTAGGGAATTTCTGAGGACTGCTGCTAGATGGCATCTCTGTGCTTTTAAACTGAAAGCATTGATTTCAGTAATGACCTTGATAGTAGGAGAGTGGACTTCTTTCTGTTGCAAGAAGATTTTTAGTGGACCATTATTTGAACATTGTAGCAAAACAGTAATACCTGTGAATCAGAACCATGAATTTCTCTGCTCTAAACTATAAAGATAGGATGATATAAAGATGGCTGTGCAGGTTTCAAACACAACATTGACACCGGAGCCAGACAGATATTTGGGGAACAGTTAAAAAGAGGTTACATGGCCATATCCACGCATCATTATGCCTGAAAACTTTAAATGAGTCATTATCAGAAAATGCCTTATCAGGGGAATCGTGATGAGATTGAGGAAATAATTACTATCTTCTTATGTAGAAATATGTTAAAACTTATCTTCATGATACATGCTCACACTACTCACATAAAATATAACCATGATTCAGCAGTAATCTCCATCACCAAACTGTGCTTTCTGTCCAAGGCAACCCAGGCAATTAGTTCTCTTGCCCTAAATAAGATAATTGTTTTAAAGTCCTATAAGCATGATGAAAAGTAGAAATATTTTAATCATTATATTGTTGACTCTTTCATAGTGTAATATGCCATAACAACCTTCACATTTTGTGATATTGCTAAAGAAAATAAACAGAACCTAATTTGCCTAAGTAGCTTTCATACATAAATTGAATTAAAGTTCTTGTTCTTACTACTTTTAAATGAAGTTGAGAAAAAGCAAAAAAAGCAAGGTAAATAAACTGAGATTACTATTTGCTTTAAAATTCACCTTAAAAATTTGTCTTTCCTGTTTCTCCTGTGAGCTAGAGATATCCTCTTCATAACAGAATCAACTCAAATTAGAACAGAAAATATGGATTGACATTTGGCAAAGACCTGTAATTATGTACCAGTAAACCCTGATATGGCAAAAACTGAAGAGTTCAAGGCAGCCTGTCTATGTTTCGAAAGAGCAAATAGTTTCCTGATTTCATATGTTCTCATCATCCTTAACCTAATTAAACTTTTGTTTTAGAAGTACTCTCTCTCACTCTTTCTCCTGGCAACTTAAAACAGTTAAATGGTATTGCGTTTCTTTTAAAATTCTTGTTGCTTATAACATTGCAACTATTCTCTTTACAAAGTGACATATTGTGATGATCAATGTTCTGTTGGCAGGGAGAGCAGCACAAATGGGGGAAGCACAGGGAGTTCAAGCTTCCTTGTTTCTGGACCCTACCTCATCTACTGATGATATACATATATATGTGACTTTGGGGAAGCTGTGATTTCAATGGCTATACCTATAAAGTGAGGAGCCTAGATGTTCTGAAAACTTTGTTAAACTCTAGAATGACTCTTTTTAATAATATCTGACCATTTATCCACAATTAACCAATTCTTTTGTTGAGTCTAGTTGGTAATATCATAATCTTTGTGAGACCTGAGGATGAGGCTCCCTGGATAGTATCATGAAGCTTTCATCTTGTGGGTTTCATTTTTAAAGCCTTATTAATTTTTCTGCTTTCTGCCTCATTACTCTGCTTCCCTCCTGTTTGCAAACACACAATCCATATGCTCAGGCTTCAATCCATTCACCTATCAAATATTGCTCCCCTCAAAAGATCATTCATTAATCTAGTATGTCTGAAAACCAACATGTTTCCTACTTCAGCCATAAGTATTTTACTTAACTGAGAGTTATCTAAGAAAAAGTAAAGTAAAAACTTGTATCGCATATAAAGGAATTATTAGGTGTATTAAAGAGATGTGAAAAGTATTTGGGAGGACTACATATAAAAGGTAACTCATATTCTGTTTCTGACTCTTCTAGGCAGGCATATCCTTAAGGA